AACATCAGAACTTCATCAAACGGACTTATTCAGACTTATCAAGGGTGCTAAGTCCATCTAAGTCCGAATAAGTGTGAAGTCAGTAAGTACCGGGTAAGTTCAGAGCGCTCCAGGTAGATGGCCACTTTAGAATGTCAATTGGGGGTCAAGGAAGCTAACATGCACCATTTTGATGCATTTCTATTGACAATGACAGGTATCTATATTCTAGCTAGGAATAATTAAGGGTCATCACGTGGCGGAGGGCTACTACGATCAACGATGTCCTCATAAATCATATCCTCCTCTTCCTCCTTCACATCTGCACGCTTCTCCTCCTTCATGAACTCATTCACCTTGCTCAGTATCCCATCACACCGCTTTGAATCCTTCAGCAAGTCCTGAATGGGCTTACTATTGTAGTTACCAACAGCCCGTTCTCCATAGTTTGCACCAAAATTTGATGCATTCTTCACCTTGATACCGGTCTTATACATTGAACAGACCCGGGTTACCTATACTCCTCAAATCAGAAAATAGAATAGATTAGATTGGGTAAAATATGACATACTGCAAGCTTTGTGATGAGAAGTGCGCCGACGGGGAATTTGTTGCTTTGACGGGTAGCATTCCGTGTCTTTCGGATATGATGTGCCATACCGACAAGCATATATTTAGACTTATAGAGGCCTCGGGGCACCTAGAAAACCAATGGATATGTATACGGAATGAAGAAGGATGTAAAAGCGGACACGCACCTCATCATCCGGATAAGCCCATAATGCTGCACCATTCGGCCCAACCATATTGCTGTACCACTGAAGAATCTGGGGTTTCTTCTTACCTTTTAGTTCCCTTTCGATGTACTTGGCGACCCGGTCAAGAAACCCGCGTTGCCAATTCTTGACTGCCTGATACGCCTTAGAACAGTCTCAGTAAAACCACCAAGTGGAAGATGGAGGCAGAGTAGGATAAACAAAGAATTACCAGAGTATAAACCTTGTCCTTCCGCTTCTTCTCCAACCGATACACAATCCGAGGACACGCATCCTTGACAGCCTTCTCGAGAGCACGAGTGAATGTATGACCGTCTTCGCCGTCAACGTTCATGGGGTTCTCAGATGCCTCGTACGACGAGATAACGTTGGCCGTTATAGCGGACCACTTCTCGCATGCCCAGTCAGGCAGCTCGCCACTGCCTCGAGAAGCATCACCCATCTCAGCAGCAGAGCGTCGACTGCGCACAGCGGGCTTAGGTTTCGCAGCGGCAGCAGCAGCAGGAGCCTCGTCATCTGACTCGACAGCAGCCTGTGTATGTGTTATCGTTGGCAACACCTACTTTGGATAGTCAATGACAGATCTTACCATGCTTTGACGAGTGGCGTTCTTCACAACAGCGCTGCGACGCTGCTTGACGGCGTCATCCGTGAACGCATCCTCCTCGATCACCTCAACCTCGCTATCATTATCGCGCCCACCCTTCCCCTTGGCCCCGACCTTCCGCGCACCACCTCGTTGACCGGCCCCCTCATTGTCTCCGACTTCCTCTTCTTCCTCCTCATCACCCTCATCAACTTCGGGCTTCTGCTTTGTTGCTTTCCCTCGTGATGAAACGACACGAGGCTTCGAGGCGCCGGGAGCACTGCTCGCACGTTTGGGTGGCACGGGTGGAGGTGGCACCCAGTCGTCTTCGAAGGCGCTCTCGGTCGTGGCTCGCTGCTTGCCTTTCATGGCGGTGGACGACCTCACCAGTGTTTGAGCCTTTGGGCTATGGGGAGGGACAACAATGAGCGGCCGTGAATGTAGTGGTAACGAAGCTGGTACATACCGAGACTCTGGTGGGGCCACACTAGCAGAGCGCCCTCGATGGTCTGCAACTTCGCCGAGAATCGATTTGCCCTCCCGGCGATTTCTTTGTCTACGGGTAAGCTGTTGGCAATACAACGTTCAGAGTATAAATCAGCCTCGAGTGATCTAGGCATACGCGATGGAAAGGTACACACCTTTTCCGGCACATCCGACTCACTTTCGTCCTGGTCCATGAATTCATCATTGTCGTCGATACTCTTGCGCGGTTTTTTCTTGACGAAAGTCTCGCCGTGAGTAGAATGAACAGCAAAAAGAATATGTAGCATACCTTCTTCGGAGCCTCGTGATGGCTCTCGTCCGCCTCGACGTCTTCGTCGTCTTCGTCGTCGTTGTCGTCGTACATTTCGTATGTCTGTGAACCCGTCATGCCAGGGCCTCAGACATATCACATCAAGAGGAGTACCAAAGTGATGAGCATACCTTTCGTTGTACGGCTCGGCGGCTACGCTTCTACGCGTCGTGATATCACACCCCGAGTGCCATGCATGTGCGTGAAGTACAAGCGAAATTGCGCATGGAAGAGGTTTGAGTAGAGGGAGCAATGGTGGATGCGTCAAATAGGAAAGCATTCTATGTCAGCTCTCACAGAAAATTTTGGGAATATGAGAGGAGAGCGTACCTTGCTCACTTCTCCGTCCTCGATCTCGGGACCGCCCTTATTCTGATTCCCATTCCGCTGTTGCTGCTAGATGATACAATGCATTTCAACAAAGGGAGACGAAGTTAACGCACCGCCAAATGGACAGCGCGTGCATGTAAGCGTGGAGAGCGGCGACAAGGGTCAGATACCAGTAACAAAAGAGTCGCGGCTGACGATACACACCACTGGAGCACTCCGGTTCTCTTTCGCGCGCACCTCGTTGACAGTTTGGGGAGCCCGTCGTCCGCGTGTTTGCTAGTTAAAACATCGGATGATCAGCTCAATATTGGGCAACGAATGGAAACTTGTTACAGACCACGATAGGTCCTTCGGCGAACTCATCCGCGGCGGCGTCGACGTCTTGCTTCTGTTGGACGTGGTTTTCGGCTCCTTTCTTCTGTTTTCCTGCTCTCTGGAATGGAGGTCAGAGGGCTTCTCCCAGCAGGACAGGTATGCGGCGAGGATCTTGTTACACACTTTGGGAGCTTGGAGTTGCGCGTTCTGTTGATGATCGAGGCTCTGTGAAAAGACGACGGCCAGAACGAGCAATAGAGGACCGTGGAAGAAACCGAGAGGGTGAGAACAGATCAACACGACGTGGGAGGAAGCGCTTACGTCGTATACGTCAACGTCCATCCGATCATCCTGATCGCTGGCGTTCGCCTCTCTCTCTTCACCATCACCTCCTTCGACCTCTTCGACCTCTTCGCCATCATCCTCACCAGCGGCCTTCTCCCCTCTCGCAAAACTTAGCGCCTCGGCTTCCTCCTCAGCGGCTCTCTCGTCGTCCAACTCAGCTAGCCGCCGCACGAGTTCCGCACGCTTCCTCTCTTTCTCACGCGCTAGGTCTTCCTTGGTTTTCGTCCTCTCGTCTTGCTCGGCGCGTTTGGCAGCGGCACCAGCTTTGATAGTTGCCATCGACCGCGGGATCATCTTGAAGGTCACACGATCCTCTGGCGCGCGACGGATGAGGTCGTATCGCTTGCCGGCGCTCTCTGGAGCGTGTTCGGTGGGGTGATGGTTGGATACATTGAGCGGGAGATCGGGGGAAGACGAGCGTTCGCTGCAGAGGACGAGTGAGATCGTTAGAAAATGAGTAATCGTATGTTGAATTGCCATGTCCGGCAGACCGTGACAATACTGACCTTCCATCAATCTCTCCAGGCTCTCGAGGATCCTGTGTCTCGTTGGCAGCACCGGCACTTTAATAATGAGGTCGCAGATGCGGTGAGTGAGCGTTGTTAGGCGCTTTCGCTGACAAGATAAGGAACTCACGTATTGTCATCGTCTTTTTTACCTCCTTTGTTGCGGCTTACAATTTTCTTCTGTATTGTGTCAGTTTTTTGCTTGCCAGAAGATGCAGTGTTTGCGCCTTTCGACGAGCGCGCGCGCGCCATGGTGGAGGATGGAAGTTGAAGAGTGTAGCGGAGTCACGACGACGCGTAAGCGTTCACGAGCCAATGAGAATTCGCCAGCTCGGTCGCGCGACTTGTGCGTTCGTTCGTTTCCTCTCCTTCGTCACCCCCGTACTCATCCACTCTCTCCCTCCCAAGCCTCGTTAGCCGTGCAGCCCACCATCTCCATCGATAATCATTCAACCGGATTGTCCGCCACACCCGTTAGTTCAAAACTTCCACAACTGCAAACCCGTCTCTCGACCAACCGCGCACCTTCTCTGCGCCTTCGTCTCCGACTTACTGCAGCCCGCCCGTCCGGCATCACGACGAACGACCCAACGCCTGCCTCCAACCAGCCGCGGGTGTCATCAACAGCAGCTTTGGCCACACCCTCACCACCTTCGGACCACTCGGATCCCCATCAACGGTACTCCTGCTCGTTCTCAACAGCGACAATTTAAGTGTCGTATCTCGTACCTTCTGTAAGTCTGTTTGGTTTTGAGCTTTCTAATTCACTAGGTCACTCATCTTTGTCTCGTAGACTTCAATAGGCCTTGGGCTGCCTCAACCTCACTTACGACAGCTCTACCTCGTAGATTCACGCCGGCTGTCACCCCGGATCAACTTGTATGTCTCTCTTTTGATGTCCCTCACCTTCGTTGCTCATAATCCTCCCCATTAGGACGCGTCAGCCCATACAATAACGCTGACAGTATTGAACGGCAAGGTGTGTCTCAATGTCTTGCGACTGTTGACTTCGTATCTTGAGCTGGTTCGGGCCATTGCGATGGACGTGCGATGCCCGCCACATCCTCTCTTCGCCCCTGCATCGGTGAGATTCCTCACGGGTATGATGACTCATGTTACATCAATGCATTGGGCAGTCGCACTTCGACATACCCTCTGCTGAGACTCTCGACGGCTCATCTTATGTTTACTTCTAATTCAAACTCGGTCGAGTACTGACTTGACTTATTCCTCACAGCAGAATGGGATTTTATTGTAATGAATGCAAACGGACGTTCCCAGTGCGTATTGGCCTCCAGCGGCATGTACGACGTGCCCACCGTCATCGCAAGCCCCGCGCCGGTCCCAGCACGTTCCGATATCATCCCCACCTCAACGGTATGTTCAGCACTGGCATTTTTTCCATTTAATTACCTGCTCATCATATCTCATGCATTCAGCTCGTCGGACTGACCGCCATGGCACCTTCGTTGATGATGACGATGCCTCGGACGACGGTTCGGAAGATCCCGACATTGATGATTGGGGATCGTTCGCGGACCGCCCCTCCTTCGAGTTCTGTGAGCTCATCTTCGAGAAGATGCTCACATCGGTCGGCGACATCAACTGGCTCCTCAAGATCATTCAGGCTAAGAATGATCTCGGCAGCGGCGACCCCGCTATCTTCCAAGATGCCGACGACATGTACGCTGCTATAGATGGAATCGACGTCGAGGGTGCCGGGTGGCGCTCTTTTCGAGTTCGGTAAGTTCACGCTCTTTTCGTCTCCGTTGGACTGTCGGTTTTATGGCTCATTCCGTCATCAGATACACTGGCCGTGTGACGGCGGAGTCTCCCGCATGGATGCGTGAGACGTACGTCGTCCACACTCGAGACACGCTCGCCTTGCTCAAGAGCATGATAGCTAATCGCGAGTTCGATGGCAAGTGGCACTATTCGCCGTTCGAGGAGACGAACGCGTCGGGAAAACGTGTCTGGTCGGACTTGATGTCCGGACACTGGGCCTGGAAGCAAGCCGTATGTATTCCTTCGCCACTCGACTGTACAATTTACTCATGTATCCATGCAGGATAAGATTGCCGAGGATCCCGCCACACATGGTGCAATGCTCGTGCCGGTCATCCTCGGCTCTGACAAGACTACAGTCTCTGTCGCCACCGGTCATCAAGAGTTCCATCCAGTCTACCTATCTCCCGGAAATGTACACAATAATATCCGTCGAGCTCATGGGGATGCCGTCTTGCCCGTGGCATTCCTCGCCATACCGAAGAGTATGTTTTCATGACCTTCTTATATCATTGCTTATTTCTCTAATTGTGTTGCAGCCTGCCGACAGTTCAATGATGACGACGACTACAAGACATTTCGCAAGCAATTGTACCATGCGTCGTACGCACGCATCCTCTCCCCACTGCGCCCAGCGATGACGACACCAATCCCGTGTCGATGCCCTGACGCCAATTTCCGTCCCACGATCTTCGAAATTGGCCCTATCATTGCCGACTACCCAGAGCAGGTCTACCTTGCGCTCATTGTATATGGATGGTGTGCCAAGTATGCTTTTCCCCTGGATGATCATTTTTGCTTCGTCCTGATCCAATGCTTAGATGTTTCGCACCACCAGATGAGCTTCATGCAGCCGGTGACCCACGATATCGTGCGAAGACCGAAACACTCACGGAGCTCCTTGATCCGGACATCCTATGGGATGCCTTTGGCATCGTGAATGACGTTCTAGTAAGCCTGTCTTGTTCAATTGTTCTGTGATTGTGAAAACTAAGAAGCAATCCTGCAGCCCTTTACTTCTTACTTCCCCCGTGCCGACATCCATGAGCTCCTCACTCCCGACCTTCTGCACCAGCTCATCAAGGGCACCTTCAAAGACCACATCGTCACGTGGGTGGAGCAGTACATTTATCAGGTCCATGGTGAGGCAGAGGGAAGACGTATCATGGACGATATTGACCGTCGGTGAGTGTGTAGCCTATTTAGTACCCGCGCCCCGCTCTCTTTCTTACTCTCATATTATTTATATAGTATTGCAGCATCTCCGGCCTTTCCTGGCCTTCGTCACTTCAAGGAGGGCCGTAACTATAAGCAATGGACAGGTAATGACTCCAAAGCTCTTATGAAGGTTCGTTCTTCTGCATAATATTGCAATATGTATTCAATCTCACCAGCAAAGTAGGTCTTTGTAGCCGCCATCGTTGGCTATGTACCCGATAAGATGGTCCAGTGCATATCTGCTCTCCTCGATTTCACCTATATCGCTCGCCGTGACGCACACGACTCCCATTCCCTTCTTTGCATGGAAGAGGCCCTCGAGCGTTTCCACGACCTTCGCACCATCTTTGAAGAAGTCGGCCTCCGTGACGACAACTTCTCTCTCCCTCGCCAACATGCACTTATTCACTACGTCCGATCCATCAAACTATTCGGCTCTCCAAACGGTCTCTGTTCCTCTATCACAGAGTCAAAGCACATCCGAGCTGTCAAGCGCCCGTGGCGTTCGACCAGCAAACACAATGCTCTTCCACAAATCCTCTTGAAGAACGAACGTCTCTTGAAGATGTCGATGGCGCGTTCAGACTTCGGGCGGCGCGGAATGTTAGTCGGGGATGTTTTATCATATGTTACTTTCGGCCCGGATCTGCCAGTGATTTTTGAGGATGAGGAAGAGGAAGCACGGGCACAGGCAGAGGCAGATGTTGAGGATGTTGATGGCGAACGTCGGGATACAATTGTTAAGCTTTCGTCACGTCCGGGTATGTTCATTTCCCCATATTTTGTTTTACGTGAGGTCTCATTTCTCATCGTCTGATACAGCTTATTCTCAGGACGTACAGTCTCTGAGTCTTGAGCTAGGTGAACCTGGTCTCTCCGACATGATCAGAAGATTCCTCTATGATCAGATCTATGCTGGGCCCGATTTTGACGCTGATGACGTTGATCCTGACGAGTGGCCCGAGTTTCGAGGCCGTTTGTCTGTGCATAGTTCCGCTTCTGTTCTTTTTTATTCTCCTAGTGAGCTTTCAGGACCGGGAGGTATGCGTCGGGAGTACATTCGGAGTACTGACCGCTGGTATAATGCTCGTGAACGGCGTGATACTGCCCTTGTTCAGGTTGGTACACAGCCCGATGATCGTTTGGATGGAATGTTTGTTTGCCGTGTTCTTCGTTTTATCTCTTTTGTCCATGACCATGTTCTTTACCCTTGTGCTCTTGTTAATTGGTTCATACCCGATGAAGAGCCTGATGAAGTGACTGGGATGTGGATTGTACGCCCTGAGAAGGTTGGAGGTCGACGTTCCGTTGGTTTGATTCACTTAGAATGCTTTGTTCGTGCTTGTCATTTACTCCCGGTCTTTGGTAACACAAGAATACCCCACTCATTTCAACATTCCGACTCCCTTTCTGCTTTCAAAGCCTTCTACCTTAACCAATTTATTGATTATCACTCTCATGAATGTATTCCATCTACGTAAACTGTACTACCAGCGTATAAACACCAATTTATCCCATATCCCAATAATCAAGAGGAGATGGGCCACCACCTCTGACTTATCTGACTTACTGGGTTCGGTAAGCTCGGATAAGTCACTAAGTGATGTGCAGAAGTGCTGATG